TACAATGAACAATAAGAATTTCAAAAGCTGACATTTCTCACAAAAAAAATTCAAAGGAATTCTGCTTTTTTTTCTATACTTTTCGTTTACTTCTATATTTTTAACTAATACTTTTCCCCCTAGACGTGACCTAAGGCATCAATAAGTATACATAGAAAAAAAAGCAGAATTCATTTGAATTTTTTTTTTTTTTTTTTGTGTGAGAAATTTCAGCTTTTTAAATGATAAAATTTGTAATAATGGAAAGAAGGGAATTAGTGAGAGCTGGAAATTCACTTAATTTTAATTATATTCAGAAACGTTTCGTCAGCACATTTGCTGACCTCTTCTGGCTGATTTCTCTCGTAGTCAAATTATTATAGGCTAAAACGAATAGCTTGTAGCCAGTCACGTTACAATACCGTATTTTAGCCTATAATAATTTGACTGCCAGCGAAATCAGCCTGAAGAGGTCAACAAATGTGTTGATGTAACGTTGCTGAATATAATTAAAATTAAATGAATTTCCAGCACTCACTATTTCCCTTCTTTCCATTATTACAAATTTCATCATTTAAGAAAACTATAAAGAAATCAAAACAGTATGTTACGTATTCAGCTTTTTAAATTCTTATTATTCATTGTAGACTACATTCACACCACCCACACATACACAGACACACATTTAAACCTCCCACACATATACACACGCACTTATACACATGCACATAACGCATCATACGCACGCATTTACACAATTAACCCTACGCGCGCGCACACACACACACACACAATTCTAACCCCTCCTCTGTCACCCTCCACATACCCACATACGCCCATTTACACGCCCCTCCACACACCCACAAGCTCATTTACACCCACCCCATACACACAAACACACATTTAAACACATGCACAACTCTCCATACACACACACACACACACACACACACACGTGCACTCATGCATATGTACATGTACAAACCTTCTCACTCCCACATTCCTTTCACACACGCATACACATATTTACGCACATGCACATAACTCGAAAAACATACCTTAGGTTAACCTGTTGTAGGCTTAGGGCTCACAGGTTATTGCGCACTAAGGTTAAACTGTCGTAGATTTAGGGCTTACAGGTTACTGCGCACTAAGGTTCACCTGTCGTAGGTTTAGGGCTTGCAAGTTATTGCCCACTTAGGTTAACATATCGTAGTGTTGTTTTTGCAGGTTACTGTGTTACACCACTTCCCCATACACACACATACACACAGACACAATCCACAACACACACATTGATACACACAAAGACACGAATATGAGCAAACATCACCCCACAATAACCCCGCGCTTTCTCTGTCTGTTTACCCCCCTCCACCGCACATCGCTCCCCCTACAGGGATAGGTGGTTATTTAGGGGGTTATTCGGCCGGTTATAGCACCTCAAGGCTCGGGGATGAAGGCTTCTGGTCTACAGACTCCCAGGTTACAAGGCGTTGGGGGATAAGGATCTGGGACTTGGAGGTTAAGGGCCCGGACCCCACAATTCATACCTTATCTGAACGTAAAATTTCCCGCGATATCCGAATCTGGGATAATATATAGTGGTTTCCATTTAAAAAAACAAAGTTAACTTTCAAATTACCTTGAAACTCTAGTTTAAGGTCAAGTTGGAGGTCACCATCGGCTGTCCCCTCCAAACCCTAAAACTTTTATCCAAACTATTTTTCGCTATCATGCTTCCGAAACGAAATAATTGGTACCTCGATTAAAATGGTTCACCCTGTACATGTATAAGTCGAGACCTGCAATGGCTCGGTCGGTAGAATGACGGACTCGCACACGTTAGGCCCAGGTTTGATTCCTAGTCCCTGCTAATTGATACAAGCACCACTGAAAAAAGTTTTATGTACTTTGTTCTCAAACACATTGCAAGCGCCCGTCATTGATTAGCGCTGATGGAGCATAAATAGAGTGACGTTAAACAAAAAAAAATATGTATAATTCTCATAACAAAATAAAGTTCAGTAGGTTGAGAAGGTGTGTGCAATTAATAAATAATAAGACTGAGGTTTAGTGTAACACAATCGTAGCTTTAATCGAATAATGAAAGTGAATCGTACTTATCCGGTATAAAAAACCCTCGTCACATGTTAGGGTAAAACCATCGAAATACAAACTAAATTAAACAATTAATAAAATATAAAATATTAACAAGGTTAGATCAAACGAATATGGCAGATAGGAGACTTACAATCCAGATATACTTTACGATACGCGAAGCTCGCAGAGTCTAAAAAAGTCACACGCCTGAATGGTTATTCAGGTTGTTTATTTCTTACCAGTGCTCGCCCACGCTACAGATTTAGAAGATGAACGTGCCGCCCCACACACACACGCTGGTACACCACAGTCTCGATGTCTTGGGCACACAATCACACTGCGGTGGCATCTAGGTTGCCGATCTGATGGGCGGAGGGTAGAATCTTAGTAACGTGAAGACGTTGCCAGTTAATGCAGTTAGCCCTTTGAAGTGACGGCACTGATAATGCTGAGGTCACACACTTACACATGCTCGGGCACACACTTTCATTGAAGTTAAGCACAGAATCCCTTATCTAGTTGATGCGCAACGAAGCGCTCGCATACACACACATATATACACGTGACATGTTGACGGGATTAGTGCAATGTGATGTACTAGGTATACGCGCAGCGCGTAACTTTGCGAGAGCGACCGAGAGAAACAATGTGAAGCAAAGATGGTCGAACTACTTAGAATATTTCGACCGTAGCTGTCAATTTCCCAGACGGAATTAACTCGCGATACTTTGATATGGCAAGGATGAAGCTAAAAATAAATTCCCCACTCTTCAAGCTCATCACCCGGACCAGCCATAACTTAGCGGCCAGGGAGAGCGAAAAACTCAAGCTGTATTAGCCACCCGCTGGTGGTCGGCAGCTGATTCCTTTCCTATATTACTCCTGCCTTCCAATTTAACGCATTTGTCATCAAGCAGTCTGGGTCTCTCCAGACGTGCCGAGACTCAAGATTACCCAGAGAACGAATATGTGTTTGCTACCTTCGTATTTTGAGAAAGAAGAAAAACCATAACGCGCAGCAACTCGCGGCATTTAGCCAGGCAATGCACAAATGTACGACAGTCGCCCTTTCACGTATAAGCATCGCAAACTCTCTCTTGGTACGCATATTCTTGATAACCGCTACGAAGACTAGCAATCATCCTGGGATTCACTATCACTATCACTGCGACTCATTGACTGTCAATGCATTGCTAGACACTTTCTACGTTCTCGAAGTTCTCGAAGTTCTCGAAGCTCGAAGCTTACGCATGCATTTTGCATAACTCTCTCTTTCTCCTATATTTGGAACGCAAATACGAATAGTATCATATTCTCGAATTCTGAAGTTAAGTATAATGTGAACTACTTGATTTTGTTTCTTATCACTTAAAGAATTAATAATCACTTCGGTATTTTAAACGTGTTTTGAACTTTCAGTTGAACACATATGCCTTTTTCCTTAACATAATTCTACTAAATACTTTTTACAAATTTTCAATACGTTTTTGTCGATCTCACTACTTTATTTTTCTCACTTATTTTTTACGTAACCTATTGTGAAGTGCCAAATAAGCCTTTGTTTTTATCAATGATACTGTTGCCAACTGTTCATGACTTTTGCTTTTTAATACTTTAGTGTATTTTATGGAATTTGATGTTATACATACGTACCGATTACAGTTTTTTACATTATTTGAATTTCATGTATCAGCACATAATTTGATGTCTTCATAATTCGATATGATATAATTTTCATCTAGTATTCTGATTTATATTTTAGCCACTTTTATTCTTTTTCGTTGAAGATTTATAATGAGTTAGAACTAATCGACTAGTACCATAAATACTTATTCGAAATTTTAAATAAGACAAGTCGAAATTAGGATAGCTCTCTTGAATTATTTTAAGCAAATTTAAATTTATACAAAAACTGTCTAATTTCTTTTTATTAAGGATGATTTTTTGCCTACAAGGAGCACATACCTTCTTTCGATTTTGTGTATTATCACACTTGTTTGTAAGCATTATACTTCAAAAATTCTATATTTCAAAACAGTTTCCTGTTGTCTATCCTAGTTTAGATTAATTTTTGAAAAGTAGACAAAAGAAAAATTGAAATCTATATTTAGCAAGGGGGAATTGTATTTGAATATTTACTTTAATAATATTTTGTATTTTGTAAATCTTGTAATGATTCTTATAAAATTCAATTTTTTTGTTATCTTTGAGTTTTGTACTTTCGGACATTTATTCATTTTAGAAATAGATAATAAAATTTATTTTTTACTCTAAAATTAAGTACAATTTATTAGCATTTTACAATAACTGAAAAATCTGTGGAATTATAGTTTCCCCGATTGTATTTCATATAAGAATTTCTATTTAGAAAACAAAATTGATCTTGAAATGACATTGAAGATGACTCCAAGGCCACGGTTAAGGTCAACATAATATATCCCCTTCATATTCTAGCAACTTTAGTCTTAAATATTTCTTGGTAAACCTTAACCTTACCCGGATATTTACGTGAAAAGATTAAGAAATGAATAATACTCTGACCCTCCCGTTTTTTTCAAATCTGGGATTAAAAATAGAGTTTCTTATTTAAAAAAGCAAAACTAATTTTGAGGTAAGCTGGAAGATGACCCTCAAGGTCATAGGAAAGGTAACCAAAACATATCCTCCTTAGATTCCAAAAATTTTAGTATAAAAAATTTTTTAACAAACTTTACCAAAGCGGAGAAATCTGGGCGTGTATGTATGTGTGTATAACTTATAGTACTTTCTACGGTTTTCTATTATTATATAAGAAAATGATGTTAAATACAATAATTGGACTAAGTACTGAGGGTTTCTTAATTTATGAATTTTCTATAGTGTATGATTCGTATATGCTATTTCACTATCATTTTACTGACAAAATCGGTGGCTTCCAGATAATCAAGTCAAAAATCAATCGCAAACCTGCAAAACGGGTGGCTCCACCTACTGTCACAGTAAAGCCTCATGTGTCGACTATGAAAAGGGCTTTTGCTGTGCTTGCAAGCCAGGTTATTTCGGAAATGGTCGATCCTGTCAGCCGGACGGTATGTTTTTTCACTAAGACTTACATCGTATCAATTGGATAAATATATAAGAATTTTTGGTATATTATTTTGTGATTAACGAATAACATTGCTCAACTTTTGAACAAAAAGCTCTCTAATGATGCAAGGTGACATTTTTTAGGATATTATGTTAATAAAGCGAATGGTTTTATGCACTGAGTTTAACTGGATTGCTGAATTATCAAAAATTTTCAAATCATACGAAAAAGTAACCTCGCGATCGGTATAAGTTTAAAGGTTTTTAGCCATAGTTTGATTGAGATTATATTGAGAATAATTTGGCAGATATACCATTACGGGCGATCGGCAAGATATCAGGCAAAATAAATGACGTCGAGTTTATGGATAGAGATCTACAGTGTTACGTGCAGACGAAGGATGGCAGGACGTACATGGCGCTGGCGCGTATACCGGAGAGCATCGGTACGCGATTCCAACTGCTGAACCCCATGAGCGGCGTGATCGGCTGGCTGTTTGCCAAAAGCAGTGGCGACTTGAAGAACGGCTACAAGCTGACCGGTAAGGTTCACGAAGCGTAAAAGAAGTTGGGGTTGAGCGACGATCGAGCGCGTTAACGGGTCATTACAGGAGGCGTGTTTAATCACACCATGGAGCTGATATTCAAGTCGACGGGTGATAAGCTGACGATTCGTAACAAATACTTGGGGCTGGATGTATTTGGCCAGCTAAAGCTCGAGTCCGAGATAATGGGTTACCTTCCATGGGTGGAGGAGGGCGCACGCGTCGACTACGGCGACTACGAGCAGCTGCTGACACGTGCCCAGCCCGGCGTAATCCGCTCTAACACAGAGCGTAGCTACAGTTTTGCTACCTCACCATCTATCAAGTACTCGTTTACCGAGGATCAAACGATCGTCTACGAAGAGTGCAGCTACGCGCCACTATCGGCGGATACTGAAGTCACCAGCAAGCTCAAGTTCTCGCGGGGTATTACAACCTATGAAAGTCGTGAGAACATCGTGCGCTTCGCCGTCAATTCCAAGATTGTGCCTCTCGAGGAGCAGGATCCGTGTATTCAGGGCCGAGCCACTTGTGGTTATCATAGTTCTTGCATCATTGACGTCAACACTTTCAGATGTGTCTGCGATCCCGGGTATCAATCGTACCAGTCAGCTCCTTATCTGACTCGCTAGCGATACCTCGCCTATACTCTAACGTTTACTAAATTTTACTTTCAGGTATCAAACGCTGTACCATGAAGATGGTTCTTCGAGTTGCGTCGACATCAATGAGTGCACTGTCGGCAATCACGCCTGCTCATCGGATGCACACTGCGTGAATACAGAAGGTAGTCACGTTTGCCAATGTAAACCTGGATTCTCCGGCGATGGACGTACTTGCGACAGTAAGCCCTACTTAAAAATACACAGCTTAATCGATCGGAAAATACCTATAGAAGTGAGATAACTGCATTGCGCTGTACATTCGGTAATTCTGAATCAACCATTTTAGAATATAGAGAAATTTTCCGTATCGAAATATAGCTTCCTGGAATATATTATTATTATATATTATACGGTATCTATTATATAGAATCTTCTAATAATATCTGCTTTTAAATGGAGTTGGACTCTTGAAATCAGTTGTATAGTACCAGAGATTTGCGCAAACATACATAAAAAATTCAAGTCGAATGCAGAACCTTTCCCTTTTATAAGTTTGTAAACATGGGCCCTATCGTGGTATAAATGCGATTCGCTATAAAGTCACCGTTTTAATTAAAGCATATACTTAATTCAATTAACAAAATAAATTATATTATCTTGAATATTAAAACTTCAAAATTAAAATAATGGTAATTTTCTACAGCCTAGATCACTTGAGAGCAATAGAAATTATCAAATTTTAGTCAAGCAATATTGAACGCTTATCTACTCTTCGGAATACGATTTGCTGAACTTAGTATACTCTATTATAACTTATTACAATATAAAGATTCGAACTCTGAAATTATTGCAATGTTATTTTTCGAGATTGAGTAAAAATTTGACTTAAGATGCGTTACTCTACTGTTTTTATTTGAATTTTTAATAATATTCGTTGACAGACAGGCAGCACAATTAGAATGATGAAATTTAAGCTAAAATTTCAAAACAGAGGTTTGAGGCAGAGGAGTCAATTGTTCTTATGCAACAAGCTATAGTTTCAGGCCAAAATATTTAGAAATTGGCAATTCCAGGTTACTACTATTAAGACAAAATTTCTCCATATCAGCGTCACCAGGAATATACGAATTTCCGTAGTAACTTTTATAATTTCATCAGTGAACTTGAGAACGTAGTTTAAGAAAATAAAATTCTCAATCTCAAAGCGCTGTGTGATATTTTAGTAAGTCCCATCATATCTGTTAGTGAAAAAATGTCGCGGAAATATTGCCAACATGCTACTAAGAGATTTTCACACAGGAACACGAATATGTAATTTTTTTTTCTAAACCGATGACGAGTCCGAGAAAATGGAAGATGTTTTCGTTTTCGGCGTTTTCTCTGCAAACAGTAGTATTTACAGGACTATAAAGTAAACCATCTCATAAAGGGTAAGATTTTACATTAAAGATGATATGTTTCACCATCTCGTCGTTGTAAACAATATTTACAACAACGCGAAATAAATACTATGAAAATTTTGAAAGGCGACGCCGTTGTGATTCTTCGCGTGCAGCATGGATTTGAAAGACACAGCTTGCAAACTGGTTTTTTGTCGATATTAGCCGGTAATGGCTAACTATCAACAGCATTCCAAATTATATTCGGAGCATTTTGACGGTGAAGCATTTGAAGTATACGATCTTTAAATTTCAATTAATATTTTTCATAATCTGATAGGTTAAAATTCGCGCGAGGCGAATTTATCCCGTGCGTAGGCCTTTAACAGTCGAGCGGCCTTTGACTCGGACGGCAGTCAGGCTCTCGGGCACCCCGTCCCGTTCGCGCGTCAATAACGAAATCTTCGTAGATTTGATCCGGGCTCCCAATACCGCGATCGTGAGATATTCGATGGGACGTATTCGTATATATTTATCCGTAATCGGTTATATATAAAATAAACAATAACGGGGAAGCATATGGATATACTCAAGCGCGGTTAATAGGAATTATAAAATTTATTTTATAAAGCTCAAGTACATGAATAAATCATCGAGCGAAAATAGAAAGATATATATATATATATATATATATATATATATATATATATATATATATATATATAGACACGTGTATGTATATATATTTATTATACTTTATATATATATATTATTATACTTTATATATATATATATATATAGACACGTGTTCTTCGCCTCGCGTTATCTATTATTCATAAACAAATAGTACTCACTTATTTTCTTAATAAAGTTATTGGCGTTCGGTCCTTTATGTATTATTATTGTTTTTTTTATTTATATGATCTTCCTTCCTTTTGTTTTTAAATGGATTGTATGGTCCGTGAAATGTAAGCGTATATATGTATGTGTCCAATTGATACAGTGGATTAATATATTTCCTTGGTCCTAACGGCGTGAACGATTTGCCTGTATGGTTGCTATCTTTCTTTGGCTTTTATTAACACTCAAGCTCTGATGAAGTAAACCGAAACAAACTTTCAATTAGGTAAAAGAATAATACCGGATAACTCGGACAAATTAAATTGCACTGAATTTATATTTCAATTGGCGAGATAAACTCTGAACTCGGAAATATTGCGGGCTTCTTGCTTCGGCGCTTCGTCCTGACTAACTAAAAAAAGGTGCCGTCGTCGTTTTCACCAGTTCGTTATATATCCTTTGTCCCTCGCACTCCGTCTCTCTCTAGCGCGTACACTTCAGACACTTACGCGTTTCTAATCGGCTCGTATTACTGAGCCAAGCACGCTGACTGCAGCATGCTGTCGCAGCATGCTGCAGCAGTGTGAATCAGCTTCTCCCGCTCATTCCCACCGAGCCGCGCACACAAATACTGCTAGCTATGGTGTTTTATCGCTATAACCTTGGCCTTAGCGCAACACGAACGGGACTCTCGAAGGCGAAATTTTAATCGTAAAATATAACAAATGATACGTCACGTAACATAATCAAATGAACAAAAGTGCTTTTAGACTTTCATTTAATATGTTCAACTCTATTTTATATATGTATAGGCTATAGAGGGTGTCCCATTTTAAAGGAACCACCCCGAAATTTTCTACGGTTGGCATTACACAAAAAAATTGTTCAGACGAAAGTTGTTTGGGACAATGAGGAATATCTTTCCCAGAAATTGGATTAGAAACGGATTCGGAAACAGCGAGAAATTCTACGTTTAGATAAGGTTTTATGTGGAGGTGCGGTTAACCCCCCCTTCCGTGTAAGCTCATGTAGGGGTCAAATTTCTTATTTTCTTCATTTATGCATAGGGATGATCAGGCAAGGGTAAGATTTTAATAACCCAAAAACTCAAATAACCCAATAACCCAATAAACCAACCTCAATAATCCCAATAACCAAATAACCAAGTGATTTTTTTAATAAGAACCCCTATTTTTTATCATGGATTCGGAAAGAGCGGGAAATTCTACGTTCAGGTAAGGTATTATGTTTGGGGTGCGGTCAACCCACCCTCCTATCCTACCGGGGCGAGGGTGAGGGTAATAATAATAATAATAATAATAATAATAATGATAATAATAATAATCTAATACCCAACATAAATAAAAGTTCGATTATCAAGATCGTTTTTTGTTTAATCATTACGTGTGTTCGTGCCACATTTAGTAACGTGAACCAATCTAACCAATGTACATAAAGAGGGAGTGTCCAGTCTATCTAGGCAAGGTGAAAATGCCGAGACGATCAAGACAAGATGTTGGTTACTCAGCTAATGAAGGCAAGGTATTAATTACCAGCTAATTAAGGCAAGGTGGGAATACCCAGCCAATGAAAGCGAGGTATTAATTACCCAACTAATTAAGGAAGGTGGGAATGCCCAGCCAATGAAGGCGAGGTATTGATTACTCAGCCAATTAAGGCAAGGTAGGAATGCCCAGCCAATGAAGGCGAGGTATTGATTACTCAGCGAATTAAGGCAAGGTGGGAATACCTAGCCAATGAAGGCGAGCTATTGATTACCCAGCCAATTAAGGCAAGGTGGGAATGTCCAGACAATGAAGACAAGACGATGACTACAGATAGAGTTATGGTCAAGGTTGTAACACAAACATTTATCTCGTAAAATGTTCAAAAATACCGCCGTTCAAATTTATGCAGTGTTGTTCGACATAAGAAGTTTTCAACTGTGGGCAGCAAAATGTGACGCGGAATAGCTCTACAAGCTTGCATGATGCGTTGCATCATACCTTGCCGTGTTGTTGGTTGTTGTGTATAAGCAATACCTTTCAAATAGCGCCATAAAAAGAAATGTGGACTTGTTAGATCTGGTCATCTTGGACACCACTCAGTAATGTCACTACCAATGCCTATTCATCGTCTTCGGTATCGTTGGTTCAAGAAGTGACGAACTATTAGTGAGCGATGATACGCTGCACCGTCCTGTTGAAGCCATAATCTTGTTTCCAAGTCGACATCTTCCAATAATTCTGGTAAATTATTCTGCAGGAAATTAAGATATGCTGCGCCGTTTACATTTCCATCGAAAAAATAAGGTCCTATCAGATAACCATTTATTATACCGCACAAAACTACGAGGCTCCATCTATGCTGATTATCAACATGACGTACCCAATGAGGGTTCTGGATAGACCAATAATGACTATTATGGCGATTGAGTTGCCCATTACTATGAAATGTAGCTTCGTCCGAAAACATTACGTATCTGAAAAATTCAGGATCTTCACGAATTCTTGCTTCTGCTCAATTACAGAATTCGAGTCTGCAGCGGAGATCATCTGGCATCAAAGTTTAAGTCAAAGTTATGTGGTACGGATGAAATCTATGAAGCCGCAAAATTCTACCGGCTGTTGTTCTTGGGATTCCAGTACATCTCTGAATTTCACGGAAAGAGATATGATGATCCAAATCAACCATTTCCAAAACAACGAGAATTCGTGGTTCATCGTTGTTCTGTCTCATAATGTGACGATTTCTGCGTATTCGTGGTCGAAGCGGCGCGTCGCGTGCCGTCTAACTAATAGGTTAGGAAGGGATGGGAGTGAGCGCCGCTGAGCGTCGCGAGAAAAAATGCGTGCGCGAGTCCAGTCCAGTTTGAGCAGTGAGTGCAGTTTTGGGATAGCTAGAAAGAAGGCCAATTCTACCGGCAACAGCTTTATCTACGACTACAGCCAGCCCCATCTGCAAGGAGAGCCAACAGCGCCTGCAGATACATCGTCTGCAGATACTGGGCCTGCGGCAAT